CAAGACGTCTTGCCACCAATAAATATAGATAGACGAGACAGTAATACAAGACCTCTCACTGTATGAAGTTCATCTCTTTTGAAGTCGTCGTGGCCTAAAAGATAAGACGTCCGGTGCATTCGTGTTGAAGCGATGCACCGGTGTTTGAATCCCGCAGGCGAGTACCAATTTCTCTAATGAAATACGTACTCAACAAATGTTCACGATTGACTTCCACGGTGAAGGAATAGCATCGTGTAATAAAAACCAAACCCGCAAAATTATAATTTGCGTAATCACTGGTGGTAGGACCTCTTGTGAGTCCGCACGGGTAGGTACCACCACCCCGCCTATTTCCGCCGTGAAGCAGTAATGCGTTTCGGTTCGAAGGGTGGGGTAGCCGTTGTAACTATACTGAGACCTTAGAACTTATATCTCGAGGTGGGTGGCGCATTTACGTNATTTCCGCCGTGAAGCAGTAATGCGTTTCGGTTCGAAGGGTGGGGTAGCCGTTGTAACTATACTGAGACCTTAGAACTTATATCTCGAGGTGGGTGGCGCATTTACGTTGTAGATGTCTATGGGCTCCAGTAACCACTTAACACCAGGTGGGCTGTGAGCTCGTCCATCCATCTAAGCAATAAAAAAAATAAAAAAAAATCTTATTTAACCAATGTGTCCACTCTATGCTTCTCTTCTCTTCTTATGTACTCTATTCTTTTCGGTCTCTTGACTTTCGCATTCCTTCCTTGCCAGCTATTTTAACCAGATATCGGTCCACCTGAATGGTTATCTACCCACGTTACGACGTCCAGTACGAAGTTAATAGAGAGAATAAATTTACAAACATAAAAAATAAATGTAGAAGTTTTTTTTTTTTAATGAATTAAATCATTTCATAAAAGCTTCGCAATTATACAAGAATTCGGCGTGACGAGGTATTTATTATAGCGTTGATTAGACAACTTCGTGGATGTGGGTCTCATTGGATTCGAAAACAAGAAAATTATATTTAACGTTTCCAAGCAAATCGACCTGTTCATAGCCTCATGAGCATTGGTAAAATTTAGAGGTCACTTAAATTTTTTAATGATTAACGAACATATAACCAATGCCTCTGCAACCTCTTCTGTTTAAGCTCTCAGTCTTAACTGATCACTAAGGGAACAATTATTATTATTTATTTTTTTAATTGCTTAGATGGGTGGACTAGTTGACAGCCCGACTGGTGTTAAATGGTTACTGGAGCCCATAGACATTTACAACGTAAATGCGCCACCTTGAGATGTAAGGTCTCAGTATAATTACAACGGCTGCCCCACCCTTCAAGCCAAAACGCATTACTGCTTCACGGCAGAAATAGGAGGGGTGGTGGTACTTACCCGTGCAGACTCACAAGAGGTCCTACCACCAGTTAATTAACCAGTAATTAACTTTTGTTTCTTAATTCTTTATCTTTTTACCTATGACTATGATGTATTTATTGGTGATGAATTTTGTGATAAAATGTTGGCTCCTCATATGTTCTTCGTTTATCGATTAAATTTACTATGCTACCAATCGATGTTCTAATATTTGGTGCCGCGATTCGAATGTGCTATCCAGTGACGCAGTATTTGCCACGTAACTATCGATTAGTATTAGTTACATTCGGTTTCCCACGCAGGTTGCATAAACCGCAACTCCTCCGCACTTCACGTGGTCACTTTGGCGTTGCATTTGCAACGTGCATGATTCCTATCAATGAACTATTTGCGCAACACACCGTTCCTGCTCGCTGATCCAAAATTATCTTCTAGTTGACATTCCTTGTTAGTTTCGATTGATATAAAGTAATTGGGTAGTTGACTTACCTCGTATACGTTAATAAACCAAAAGGCTCAGTGAGCAGAAATCTATGCTAATATTATAAAGCTGAAGAGTTGGTTTGTTTGAACGCGCTGATCTCAGGAACTACTAGTCCGATTTGAAAAATTCCTTCAGTGTTAGATAACCCATTTATCACTGTAAGGTATGAATACAAGTGGAGCACCAATAAAGATTGTTTAAAAATAAGGGGTTTAAATAGCTCCTTAACCTTTTACGTAAATGAAGTTGGGGTAAAATTTAGCGCTATGTCAAAGTAACTACACCACGCGGACGGAGTCGCGGTCAAAAGCTAGAGCTGTAATAAATAAAGAGTTAAAGAAAAATATATCGGCTAATCAATTTCTGAAATACAAGCATAGAAAATATTAGTGAAGAATGAGAGGGACTGCTTTGTAACTGTCACGTATCTTATTCTTATCGCAAGCTTGACTGTTGACGTCATTGTACAAAAAACTTTCAAACTATTCAACATGGGCGTGCCGGATAGTCTCGTGCTCATCATACGGGACTTCTTGTCGAACCGCTCTTTTCGATATCGAGTCGAGGGAACCCGCTCCTCCCCACGACCTCTCACAGCTGGAGTCCCGCAAGGCTCTGTCCTCTCACCCCTCCTATTTAGCTTATTCGTCAATGATATTCCCCGGTCGCCGCCGACCCATTTAGCTTTATTCGCCGACGACACGACTGTTTACTATTCTAGTAGAAATAAGTCCCTAATCGCGAAGAAGCTTCAGAGCGCAGCCCTAGCCCTAGGACAGTGGTTCCGAAAATGGCGCATAGACATCAACCCAGCGAAAAGTACTGCGGTGCTATTTCAGAGGGGAAGCTCCACACGGATTTCCTCCCGGATTAGGAGGAGGAATCTCACACCCCCGATTACTCTCTTTAGACAACCCATACCCTGGGC